CAGGCACCAGCACAGGCTGGGGGTGACCTGCTGGGCAGTAGCTCTGCAGAGAAGGACCTGGGGGTGCTGGTGGACAACAAGCTGTCCATGAGCCAGCAGTACCCTGGTGGACAAGAAGGCCAGTGCATTAGTCCTGAGGTGCATTACGAACTGCATTGCCAGCAGGTCAGGGAGGTGATCCTGCCCCTCTGCTCAGCCCTGGTGAAGCCAGTCTGGAGTGCTGTTTCCAGTTCCGGGATCCTCAGGGCAAAAGAGACAAGGAGCTCCTGGAGGGGGTGGGTCCAGTAGAGGGAAGAAAAACAATTAGGGGACTGGAGCATCTCTCCTATGACAACAGGGTGAGGGAGCTGGGACTCTTTTAGCCTGGAGAAGAAATTACTGAGAGGGGATCTTATCACTGCAAGTATGTTAAGGGCAGGTGTCAAGAGGATGGAGCGAGGCTCTTTTCAGTGGCACGACAAGGGGCAATACTGAAACACAGGGAGTTTCACCTGAATATGAGGAAAAACTTCTTTACTGTGAGGGTGACTGAGCACTGAAACAGGCTGCTCAGTGAGGTTGTGGAGTCTCCTTTTCTGGAGATATTTAAAACCCACCTTGGATGCAATCCTGTGCAATCTGCTCTAGGTGACTGCTTTAGGAAAGGTTCTTTCCACCCCCAGCCATTCTGTGACTCCATGAGAGGAATAATCAGTACAGCACAATAATTGATGCAGGTGGTGGGTTTTCACTTGATAGAGTGGAGCTGTTCCAGGTTCTGTATAGAGATGTTTTAACCACACATTGATATATTTGGTTGTTGTAGCCTTCTATGGCTTTTGACTGAGTCACCTCTTTGCTTTCTGTAGGTATCATGGTGAGGATTGAGCTGGGAGTCTGTTGTGCAGTAATGTTCTTCTGAGGATCCAACCTGCCAGCATATTAGCTTGGGCCTCATTCTGACGTCTGCTCCTCTTAAATACATTTTTCTTGTTTTCAGTCCATTGGAGATATCTGCCAAGAAGCCTGTACCTTTCCTGCGACAAGTTGTCCCTGTTAAGAAGAAGGTGGGTGCTGCTCCTCCCCAGTTCAGGACTTAGTGCTGCTGACAGGATACACACTTGGCAATGGGGCTACTGCAGATGGCACAGGCTACTCCTGGAGGACAAGGCTGGACCACTGGAGACTGCAGACAGTGACAGTGTTTCCCTGGGGAGAACAAGGGGTGGGTTGGAGCAGCTACAGGTTAACTTGATAGTTTGTGACCCAGATGTTTCTAGAAGGTGCAATGACTGCCACTAATGACAGCTCCATTGCAAACAATGGTCATTGTTCAGTACTAATCCCAGAAGTTCAGATGTCCATCTACTTTCCAGTCTGAATGTAACTTTTGACTTATCATATCTGGATCATCAGAATATGGTAATTTCCACAGTTAGAGACCTGTTTTTGTCTCTCCCTTTTTGTGTGACCTGACCCAGTTAATCTGCAAAAATCTGGATAGGTTTGAGTTCCCAAATCCGTCACCTTGACAACACACATTCAGCCAGCTCTTGGTCTGGGAGTGGCAGGTGTTTGACAGCAGCAGTCCTGCTACTATTCCTGGATATTCCTGGGTGGCACACTTGCATATAGAGATGTCTGTTGCACGGTAAACTCAATACAGGCATGACTTTGGGGGATGCCACCTTGACCATCGTACTCAATCTTTGCCAGCTGCAGATATTTCAGTGGTGGGAGCATAACATTGCTGGGGAAAAAAAATTGGCTGATCCATGAAGGGAGAGTAAGCAGGCTGTTAACAGGGTAACACTGGCTACAGCACTTGCTTTTGCCTTCCCTGCTGACAGGTCCAGAGAGACCCTCGATTTGATGACCTATCTGGAGAGTATAAGCCTGAAATATTTATGAAGACATACAGCTTCCTGGACAGCATCAAGAAGCAGGAGAAGGAGGTGTTACTCTGTGCCTGTCCTTGCCTGGAAGAGCCTTGCTTGGCAGGGGCTACTTCTTCAAAGGCATTTCACAGTGGAGGTGACAGGCAGGCAGTCATGCAGCTTTGTGCTCTCTTCTTCAGATGGTTCAGAAGCAGCTGAAGAAATGCCGGAACATGGAACAGAAGGAGAAACTTCAGCGGCTTCTGAACCGTATGGTGAGTTCAGTGCAGCATCTCCTCTCTGTGAGGCACTGGAAGAGAGGCCGTGTGACGTGAGGTCTGCCTTCACGCTGACATAGGCCATCCTTTTTGTACAGGCACAGCAGGAACAGGCACAGAAAAAACAGCAGAAGTTGAGAGAGAGGGAGCTGTCTTTGAAAAGACAACAGAGGGAATTGGCCAAGCAGGGAAAGAAACCCTTCTTCCTAAAGAAATGTAAGTACTCAGTGTGAGCATGCTGCAGGAAGATCCAGAGGGAGTACTGCTGGCAGGAGTTCAAGCACTGGAAGCAAGGTGTCCATACTATTCCACAGAGCTGTGGGGGGATTGTTCTAGTGCTGGTACTCAAGGGACAAGCTAAGTCTGGACCAGGGAGGGGGAGGTGAGGAGGGGCTGCTCTGTAGAGATGTTTTGGGCTTCAGTTTAAAACTTGACTTCCCTTGCCTCTACAGCTGAGAAGCGGAAATTGGAACTAGCTGAGAAGTATGCAGAGCTGAAGAGGAGTGGAAAGCTGGAGAGCTTCCTGAACAAGAAGAGGAAGAGGAATGCCATCAAAGACAAGCGCCATCTGCCCTCACAGAAGAACTTGTGACTGTTGGACAGTCGTGCTCTTGTCTGGCACTGGCTCATTCTGCTTTAGCCAGGCCTGGAGGATGGTTATCCCTCTTCCCAGGATCTGCCTTTCACTCTACAGTGATGCTGTGAGGCAGCAGAGCAGGGGCTGAACTGAAGGAAATAATGGGGTTTATGGTAGCTGAAGTATCTTCTCTGCTTGTAGTTTAGATCATGTCTGGGTGGGGACAGGTGTGTCGTGCAGATGTTGATGGTGATGACAGCTGTCTTTGCCCTTGCACCTACTCATTTCTAACTCTAGCAAGGAAAGTGTGAGTCCTGCCCTGCACTGCTGGCTCTACTCCAGGTTCTTTCAGACTTCCACTGAGGCAGAAAAGGATGTTGGACAATGCCTGCTCAGAGCAGCAACCCTGACTTCAGGTTGCCCAGGACTGCTTTGATGGAATCTGGTAATGTCCAAGGACAGATGTCCTCACCTCTCTTGGCCTCTGCTCTGCTACTTCAGGTTCCCAAGATGGAACTTTTTGTTCCCTCGTCCAGGAAACCTGTCTGGTGTTAGTCTGTAACCATTGTCTTGTTCTCAGTGAAGTGCCTGGCTCTGTCTTCTCAGCAGCTTTGTCACAGGTCTGAGGGTGGGTGGGAAAGGGGTGCTGTAAGGTCTCCCCAAAGTCATTCCTTCCTAAGGGTGAATGAATCCTGTTTCCTCAGCCTTTCCCAGCAGTGCTCCAACCTCTGACAGCTTTCACACACTCATCTCACTCTCAGCCCAGAGAACCAAGAGCTATCTTTTGGTGGCCCAGCATGGATGAGTATCTGGATGTAGTCTCACAAGAGATGAGTAAAAGGTGAGAGGATCTCTCCATGTGGGCTGCTCCTGGTGATGCAGATCTAGGTGTGGCTGGCCTTCCTCATACACAGGGCATGCTGTGACTGCTCAGGTATTGGTGCTTGGGATCTCTCCTTCAGAACAGCTTAAGTTTCTCAGGGTCATCTCCATAGGGCTATAAGTGCTTCTAGGAAATTGATCCTGTATGAAATAAAGTACCTATTTTCCTTTATTCCCACTGTCAGTGCTGTTAAAGTCAAAAGTGTTTGACCTTAGCGGAGTCAATGCCTCTCTCCAATATCCCACTAGCCCTCTTGCTTCTCCTTGTTCCATTTGCCCCTGTGCCATGGCTATGCTGACAAGGAGATGGCTCAGATGACCCCAGTGTAACAGGTCAGAGTGTGCTGGGAGAGTGCCTGGGCACAGCTGTGCTGTGTGGGTGGCTGCAGGTGTTTGGGGCCTGGGGATAGGCCTTGCTGGGAGCAAAACATGGAGCAAGGAGCAGGTCAGCTGGCCTGAGGGCATTGCTGAACCACTTGCCTCCACTGTAGTTCCTTTGGGTGATGCAAGTTCTGCTCTGGTGAGAGGACTTAGCAGAACTGGGGGAAGTAGAATCCCAGTTGTCATCGGATGTGCCAGCCTGGCAAGAGACCTGCTGCCAGGACCTCACTGAGGGGTCATGTGCATTCCTGTGTCCCTGTCCCCTGCTGCTTGTAGGTCTGGTGCAGCCAGCTGAAAGGCACCCCTAAAGTGGTCATGCTTTCCTCTCCTGCCCCTCTGGAGCTAAAGCTCTTCCTCCTGCTGAGGCCTGTGCCTGCCTGCAAGGAGGACATCCTTGTTGGAATGTCGCCTGCTTCTGCTCAGCATGGTGGTTGTGAGCTGTGAGTCTGTGGCCTGTGAGCCTGTGGCCCGTGTGCCTGACAGCTCCTGGGCCCAGCATTCTCAGCAAGGGAAGCCCTGAGGCATTGCCCAGCTCAGCCAGGGCTGAGGTGCCACTGGGTATTGCACAGAAGCCAGCATGGCAGCACCACCTCCAAGGTAAGCAGATGCTTCCAACACCTCCAGAGAGCTTCCTACTGCTGGGAAGCTGCTCTTTCCAGTAGCCTCCCAGCCTCAAGCATTTGGCTTATTTTCCTTGCTTTTAAGGCGATTTGGGCAGACCTGCACTGGTATCTCTGCAGGTGGAGTATGGGGATTTGCTCTGGGTGTCCCTGGGCATGACTGGTTGATTTGACTGCACAGGTGGTGGTGGCTGACAGCGCTGCCACACGTCACTCTGTCAGCGACACCCTCAGAGTCTGCCAGGACCTATGGGCCAGGAGGAATGGCTCCAGACCCAGTGGCCCTAAGTGGTCAGTGAGTGAGCCTCTCCACATGTTCTGCAGCTGAACAGACACCCAGTCACAAAAGGCCCCCACAGGGGTGGGGGGGATCTGCCTGCTGGCAGGGTTATACACATGAAAAGGCTGCAGGGCTTAGGTCTTTTATTGCAAAGAAGGAGATACAAAAAAAAGGACAGTCGCCCCTTTTTGGGTCCCCCGCAGGCCTGCAGCTGGCTGAGAGGGGTGACAGCAGGGAAAGGCAGAGGCCTTGCTCCCCCTGCGTGGAGACCTCGGCTTACACAGTGGGGGGAGCAGGCTGCTGCCAAGGACCACACTGGAGCCAGGGCCAACCACAACAGAAAAGTGGGTGACCTGCTGTGTCCCCGCCCTGGCTGGCCAGAGAGCAGTGCTGCACGAGGAGCCCAGCACAGGGTAGGGCTGCCTGGCCTCACCCAGACACAACTCGTGGCAGGCGGCCCTGGCCTCCTCCCCTGCTCTGCTGTTTTACCAGATTGGGGTGCTGAGGTTCCAAACTGCTCTGCAGCCTTAGAGAGGCTGCTGTAGGGCCCTCGCCATGTGCCCCGCAGGAGCTCAAGCAGTTTTGCCCAGGGAAGGAGTGAGCAGGGTCATTGCCCTCTGTCCAGGCGGGGAGCTCCACAGCCTGCCCCAGGTTTGTAGGTACAGCCAGGCATGGGGATGCCCAGGCTGTAGCTCCTGCTGACTTGTCACGTGTTGTCCTGGGCCAGCTCCTCGGGGCAGGCGGGTTGGTCCTGGGCCCTGTGCAGCCCTGTGGGCGGCTGGGCCAGAGCGCTGTGCTGCGGGTCTGGCCCTGGAAGGGTGTGGTGCTGGTGCCGCTGGTACTGCACAAACATACAGACCTTCATCCCAATGGCCAGCATGTTCTTGCCCATGAAGATGCTGGAGACCCGGGAATCCCTGAAGAGGACCATGTTGCTACCTCGGATGAAGATGGTGGTGATGTTGATGGTGAGCATGCTCAGCATGGGGTACAGCATCATCCGGTGTGGCACGATGCCGATCCCCTGCATGCTGATCTCGCACAAAGACACGCACGGCAGGACCAGGAGCAAGATGTAGCAGTAGAAGAACATGATGCCCTCAACCCAGAGTGGCAGCCCTTTCTTCTGAGGCTCCCACAGGTTGGCCTGGATGTCCAGCACATCCAGCATGTCCACAATGACCCAGAAAAGGCGGTTGCGGAGATCTTCCTTCTTCTTGAATGTTCTGACATACTCCATGTGCTCTGTGGCCACCAACAACACGTAGAGAGCTGGGATGCAGATGGAGAGCAGCAAGGTCAATGCTTTGCGGGCTATGAGATCCAAACTTTTCCGGTCAGCTTTATAATTCTGGTATACAAAGTAGACTTTGATCTCCAGAACGAAGACATACAGGAACCAGAGGATCATGGCATATCCTCGCTTAGCTGTCTTTACCTCTGCCCCAACCCAGATAGCCACATAGCGGAGGACCAGCAGGAAGCATATGTCACCCACTGCCACCATGACACAGATGCCCAGCTTCCTGGAGCCCTGGCTCTGCTCCACCAGGTAGGCATCCATGAGGACGAGGCTGGTCATGATGAGCACAGTGGAGAGGCACACATGGGGCTTGCTGACAGGTGGTGGGGGAACCATCCTGCACAGAGGAACACGCAGGGTCATGAGGGAGTTGCTGAGATTTCCTATCCCCACCCTTGGGCCCCCTTCTAACCACCCTCTCCTCAAGAGCTGAGGATGGCTGAAAGAAGGGAGGGAGCCATTCATAGATTTCTCCCATCCTATGTGCCTGGCTTGTTCCAAACCTGCAGATTTCTAGCCAAAGAGCTCCTGAGACTAACCAGGCCATCCTGGTGGCATGTGTTGGCTGAAACTCAGCTCCTAGGAAGCATATGGTAGGGCAGGCTGGACACTTGGGCCACTTCAAGCACTTTGGATCCCACTGCCTCTTCTGGTAACTCATCACACTGACTAGCCTCTGCCACCATGAAGGGTATATGCCTTATTTTCCCACCCAGTGGTACTGCTTATATTTTTCCCCTATAAGGTACGTTAAGACTAGACTTACACGTTTAACCCAAGGAGGCCCTTAAATGCTATAGTCCAAGACCATTCTTTTTAGTCTCTTTATTTTCATGCACAGCACAAGATGAAGCCTGTATTTTTAAACCTGTATTTTGTCTTGTGGGGTGGGAGGGAAAAAATTGGCCCAATATTCCGTTTCCTTCAAGTTCATACCCCCCAAGAGCTTTGCCTAGAGCTATTTGTCAATGCCTACCCTGCCCCAACACCATAAATTGAAAGCAAGAAAAAGCAGCACAAGCCCACAGCTCCAGGACACAAGGAGCTCTGCAACAGGCCCTAATTTCTTTAGGATGCTCAGCTTTCCTAGGGTGGGGCAGAGCAAAGCACTGTCCCCAAAAGCACCCTGTCTGCCTTGTGTGGTACCAAGGCTGTCAGACTCCCTCCCCCTGACCAAGCACAGCTGCAGGCACCTGCCTTCACAGGCAAGGAGGAAGGACAGAGCTGGAGCCTCGCTAGGCAGAACTTGGCAGCTGCTCTGGAGGGGAGCCAGCCCCCTGGATGAAATGGAGGATGAAGCTGGGCTGATGACTGTGTGGCACAGTGCTGCATGAGGGCTGCCCACTCAGAGCTCGCCTCTGCCACGCCTGGGCTGTGAAGGGGCCCTGGGACACCATCTGCTCATCCGGGGGGCAGTGTGGAGGCGGCACTTGACCATGGGAGCAGGATGAAGGCCGCACAGTTAATGGTCACCCCTGTACATGGATGCTCCTGGTGCTGAAATCGATGGCGCAGGGCCCTGGGCAGAAGCTACCTGAACTCCTGCTTTTTGGCTGAGAGAGCAGGCGTCCTGCGCAGTCGTGCATCCCTGGGCCCAGCAGCATCCCGGCACGTTGTGGGAGGCAGCGAAGCCTGAACCTGTCAGACACAGGTGCATCTCAGGGGGAGGGATCAGAGGCCGGTGGGCATGGGGAGCCCGTGGATGTGGCACATCTGGAGCATGCCACACGGCCGGGGGCTCACCCGCCCGGCACCCCACGATCTGGCCGAGCCTCCGCGGGGATTGGGGGTGCCCCAGGCCCCGGCTCAGCACGGCCCTGCCCCGGGGCCCGAGCTGGGCCGCCCCGCCCGGCTTCGTCTGCCCCCGGCCCCGCCTGTCCGAGCCTCCAGCCCACAGCGGCCGGGCCTGCCGGGGGCCCGGCCTGCCGTCCCCCCCGGTCCCGCTTACCTCGGGCGACTCCCCGAGGCGCAGAGCGGCGGCGGCGGCCCCGGGCCCGGCGCGGCATCCCCCGGCGCGGCCCGGCGGCGGCTCTGCGGCGGCGCTCGGCTCCTCCCGGCCGGCGGCGGGCGGGGACTGTGGCGGCCCCCGCCTCACCCGCGGGCCTGGCGCCGCCCGCCGCTCCTCCTGGCCCGCTCCCCCTGCCCGAGCTCGCTGCAGCTGGATGGTTGTCCCCATCCCCGCCCGCCTCCAGCCCATGTTCTGCCCTGGGCAGAGCCAGACACAGCAGGGCCGCAGCCCAGCAGAGGTCCCAGCGAACCGTGGACTGGCAAGGCTGTCTGCCGTTCAGTCGGGACTGGGGGCCGCGACCTCTCCTTGCTGGCTGGAGAACCCATGCATCTCCATGAGCTGACACCCATCTGTGCTGGGCTGCAGGGTCCTGGAGAGCCTCAGCGTCGCTGGGCTCTGGTACAGATGGGCTTGGCACCACCAGGGGCTTGTGTGCAGATAGAACAGGCCAGGGAAGGCAAAAGGCACTCGATTTTTACTGGTGGACATATCTCTCTGCAATTGCTCTTCTATGAGCCTGAGCAGCTTATTGCATTTAACTTCAAACTTTCTTCTAAGTGATTTTTTTTCCCTCTCTTTGAAGTGCTCGTTGTAGATATATGTATTTTGGGAGACAGGAAGGTCTAAGATCTCTGGATTTTAGAGCTATGAGATCTTAGATCTTTTGCTATAAGCAAAACCAGGCATAGACCTGAGAGCAAGGACAAGTGCAAGTGACAGAGTGACAGGGGAAGCGCAGCTCTCCTTGCATCCAGCTGCAGACAGAGTGGCTCTAGGTCCCTGTTGGATCTAATGCCCTTGGGCATCTCAGCTGGCACCAGGAACACATAAATCTAACCTGTGGTGTCCTTGGCAAATGGAGACACTGGACCAGCATCCAGGCTTAGCTCACAAGTCTCACAGTGGGTATGGACTGGTTGATGCATGCAGGTGAAGGTCCTGTGTAAAGAGAGCAGAACTCTGGGTTAGACAGATGAAACAAGGTAAGGAGTTTGGCTGTGGGAGCATTCTCCTAATCCAGGAATAAACAGCAATCCCCAGAAGGGCTGAAAGAGCAGGGAAACAAAGCAGCCAAAGCAACCTGCCTCCGAAAATGAAAGGAGACCTTGCAACTCGAGTGGAGAGCAATGTGAGGCACAAGAGGGCAAACCAACACTGCAAAAATCTACTTCTTTCCTCCGGAACACAGAAGCACTGGCTCTTGCAATATTCAGGGAGGAGCAAAGGGCCTCTGTCCATGGAGGCACCCAGGGAGGGGACACCACAGAGGTATCCACACGACAGAGATGGGAGAGAGGTGCTGGAGGAAGCTACCAAGCAATGGGGCTAAAGACAAGATGATTCATTGGTGAGCTGGAATCATAAAACCCTGAGTCTCCACTAGAGACTAGGACAGGAGGTAACAACATTCATGTGGGAAGCAGAAAAGAGCTGCTTTAACAAGGCACATAAAAATAAGGAGCCAGAGCAAGAGCAGATACTTCTATGCTTCACTAAAACATGATGCTGGAACTGGGGTGCTAGAGTTGGTATGTGGATGCCTCTGTACCATGGATAAAATGGAAGGGAACCAGAGAGGGTACACCAGGATTCCCAGGCATGTAGCTGCTCTCTGGGCTGCTGCTGGCTCCAGACCCAGGTGGAAAAGCATCTTCAGCTTAGCCCTGTTCTGCCCATGAAACCTGTACCCCATCACTGGCACTTGAGAGGAATGTTGAATTTGTCCTTACAAATGAGCTGTGGATCTGCTTGTAGATAAGGCTAGCACTGAGAGATAAAAGAAACAATGGGATGGATTCCACTGATTGATGAATGGAAAAAGATATTTCCTTTTGCAAACAAACTGCAAGGCTGCTGATAAATGAAATTGGATATCGAAAGATGAAAGAAGCAACGGAGGGG